CAGGGTTTTCCGTGCTGAGACCAGGATCACAGTATTCGTTTGATGCATGTGTTTGCTTCAGCCCGACTGCTATTTCAAAGGCATTGGGAATGACATGTCCCCTTTTATGGCGACTGCGATTTGTCTTGCAAAGGCCTCCACCGAGGCCCCCCCTCTCTGCACTCAAGGTGTCGGAGAGGGGCACGGTGCGCAGGGGCGACACGGGGCAAGACGCTCATCGCCCACTGCGCGGCCCCCAATGAGTTGCTTTCACCATTTTTCGTCTGCCAGGTGATCGTCTACAGCCAAGTGCGACTGACGATGCTACCAACACCTTATACAGCCATACAATGCCGTCCTGAGCTTCCACCAGCTTGTGGAGAACTCCGATGAGTCGTTTTTGCTTGTCATTTGTCAGCAGCCAGGTCGCCTTGATGTTCGTTGCCCGTCTTGTGTAGAGCTACCGTTTGCGGGGTACCATCGAGGTTCACTCAAACTCAAAGGGATGGCAAAGTAGTACAAGTAAGTCGAAGTAGAGGCAGAAGTCGTCGTGGTACTGTTTGTGGAGGAAAATCTTGCACCGCGTTCCGTGGCAAAGCTAGTCGAGCAGCCCACTCCTCCTGTTTAACATTGTGGGTTCCAATGACAAAAAACTTGCACCGCCTGCAGGGGGTGCGGGGACTTGTCAGTAATTCGGTGGTGTAAGATTTCCTCCATCAACGATAGTCGTGGTCGTGGCCGCAGTGGTCCTAGTGGTCCTAGTGGTCGCCCTCGCCGCCGCCACCGTCCTCGTCGTCCTCGTCGTCCACGTCGTCGTCGCCCCATGAAACCGCCATAACCCTAAAACCCTGAATCCTAGCGAGCCCTGAGCCCTAAAACTTTTTCAGCTTTAAGCGACCCAAATCCCTAAATGCACGAAGCCCTAGACAGATCTTAAATCATACGCCCCCAGCACGCGGAACCTGAAACCTAGACCATCCTAAGCCTGCAGCCCAACCCTAGCGAACCCTAAGCACCCTATGCCAAAAAACAAATCGTGTGTTTGATTACACTTTTCGTCCGGCCTCATGGGCTCATCATGTGTGCACGGCATTGTGGTCCTGCGGCGGATTGCTGCCCGAACCTGGTCCCGCGTGGGCACATATCTTAAACCAAACGGCTGGAAGCCCGCACAAGCGGATGTCAAATTGCCGCCTCCACAGCATTGAAAATGGACAAAGAGCATCACCTTCACAGCGTGACTGGACATGGAACATAGATCGCAGTCTTGGTACTGGGCCAACGTGGGTTGATGAGGAAGGAGGCTATCGTTGGCACGGAGTATGAGCGTAATGAGAGACCTGCTGACAGTACAGTAGCTCCTCATTCTGCTCGGAGATATCCAGCCACTCAGGGTCGAGCAAATGTCAGAGAAGGGTTAGCAATGGACGAGGATGATCCACGTTTCAAAAGGCAATCGCTATACACACCGCCGCCTGGTAGAGACACCAAAAGATCCAAGAGTGAAGAGTCAATGCGCCAACATAACCTGGATGAAGAGTTGCTCCAAGATTCGCCTTCAAAGCAAATCGGTGATGTGCTGCATGACCTCAAGGATATGACGGACGATTTCAATCAGCAACAAGCGCAGGTAAGATTTTTGATTTGGCAATGTGCAGAACGTCAAAGGCAAGAAGCCAGCACCAAGATCTCCATCAAGAATTGGTGGAAATATGAGTTGCAAGACAGCCGAGATTACTTTGCTATGGAATCGCATCGGCAATCTCTGATTGAGTTCTACGCAAAAGAGAAGATATCCGTGTGTGCTCAGCGCACAGCCCCATATGTTCAGTGCTGCCACGTGCGACGTTGTTGGCCGAGCCGCTCGCTCTGTGGTCAAGGAATCGGCGCAGCTCACTAGCTGTTGAAGCCCTTGCTGGGAGACTAGGAGATTCATGCGCTTGAAGCCGGAGGAAGTGATTACTGCCCTGTTCGATTTGAACCGTCTTGTCTGGCCACTTTTGTTGACAAGGGTGCTACACGGTCTACGTGACAGAACCGTCTACGAAAGCAAAGCTGGTGCGGACCTGGGTAGGGAGCATGCAAATTCACGGGGCTTTCAATTTCGGGAAGGTTGCCCAAGCGGTCCGGCGTGTCTCAATTTTGTGCCACGCTTTTCCTGTGCACCAATTTGCAGAGGAGCGACTTCAACGACGTGGTGCTGCAGCTCTACGAGGCGGAGTGGACCACAAGGCAAGACTACGACCTCGACGTCTAAAGAAGACGATGTCACAGTCGAACTGGACGACGTGTTGTTTGCCGATGACGCTACAATTTTCACTACAGTCGAGCATCGTGTCGAGGACGAACGACATCTTGGACGTCTGTTGGGCCGAGCGCCTACCTCTCAGCGTCCCTCTCCAAGAGGCTGCGTGGCAGGCAGGTGTCGACCAGGTGAAGCCGGCTTTTATTTGGGTGCATGGGTCACCAATGAGTCGCCCCCAGCAGTCGACCGCTAAACGGCTCCAGCGAGGCAACCAGTAGCGGGCCAAGCTTTGGCAGCAGGCCTATCGCCTAACGTTGCCTAAGACCATGGGCGTGCTCTTCGAGTCTACGGCGATGGCGCGTGCTCTTAGAGTCTACGGCGATGGCTACCCTGCTTCGCAGTGCTGAAGGGCGTGCGTTTACAAAGCAAGAAGCTCGTCAAGACGCAGACCTTCGTCAACCGCTGCGCGCTTGGTATGTTGAATGATATAAGGTGACTATGGTCGATCTTCGGCGCAGACTGGGGACCCAGTCCGTTGCGGTGCCTTTTGGAGTCCGTCAATTCTGTTGGTTGTCCTACAGGACTTCCGCAGGACTTTGGACCTCCTTTCGTCATGGTCCACCGCGACTGGGTTCTCAGAGCACGGTCCTACAGTGGCAAAAATTTCAACCCGCTCCTCTTGAGTCCACACACGATCCGCCCCTCGCGTGGGTGACCCCAAGCCCAAGGGCCGCCCTGCCAAACGCGAGGCTGCCACTCCAAAGCAAGAAAATTGGAAGCCCGCCCCAAACCGCGCCCTTCAAGAAGTCGAACCAGACACTTGGAGATGACGTCGGGCCAACCGTCTCCCTGCAGCCCCTGGAATTTTGCCTGCTTGTTCGGCTCTACAAACACCACCCCCATGTAGCTTGGGTAGAACAAGTTTTCTGCGCATTCGACGTCGGACGGCATGGCACACTGGCAGGCGCTCAATCCGAGCGTGCTGCACTTGGTATCCAGGACCCGCGTCTCCGCTCCTTTCCTTTTCTTACCAGCTCTGCGCTGCAAGAAGTCAACACCCAAAACTTTGACACAATCAGGCTAGAGCCCTACAGCTTCGCAAGATTCATGAGTCGTGGAGAAGGCAGAGTTTTGACGTTTTGCAACCAAGATCGGCGAGACTGCCGTGTCTTGAGACGAGCGCAGTGTGATGCCTGTCGTGTCAAGAAGGTCACGCCTGAGTTTCGTGATGGGCTGCAGAGAAGGCTGGCGTGGCCTCGCGGATGTGCGTTGACGCTCGAGTGATTGAGCACGTCCTTTGCGCGTGACTAAAATGGTGAAGCAACGCAACGACGAGATACAAGTTCACAATCGTAGATGGCGGGCGCTGATGGGACACGTCGTGTTTTTTATGAGGTGACCGGCGAACTAAAGCTTGCAGACGACAGAACTGTCAGCTCGACCGTAGACCATGGACGGGTGCGTGCCCCGCCCCCCCCCCCAATACCAAAATAAAAAAGGAGCAAAAAGGAAGGAGTTGCAGCCACCCTCGAGAGCCCCGGCCAAAAGAACGGCCCCGGCGTACGAGCTCGTCTTTAGCGCTCGGAGAGCGTCGGGGCCCGGGCCAATACGACCCCCGCACCCGTCAGGCGTTTCGATTTCGGCGGAGACAAGATATTTTGGGCCGGGGATTGTACTAGAAAAGCTACTGCCCCTTGGCTTCCTCTCGGAATCGGGGGAGTGTAATTTGTTTTGAGAGAACGTGCCAGAAAAGCTGCCAATGCCGACATTTCGCCGACGAGTTCGTCCATACAAGCACCTTAGTACACCGACGAAACACAAGAAACATTTTACTTTCGCCGTCCTCGAAAGGATCCCCAACATCGACCTTATGTTGCATGTTCTCAAGTCTGAGTATGATAGGGGAAGGGGGCCCCATGAACAGGCTCCGTGTACTTAGTTTGAAAGCTGCTCATGCACAGCGCCTTTGTTTAGCTTGAGGTGGTTCGAGCTGCAAGATTTGGGTTTGAAACCTTTGTTTGAACTTCAGGGTTTTACGCCTTACGCCCAGTAACCTACAACCGCAAAGTCCCAATCAGAGAGGCATATGGAGGCCACGTGCATTATCAGCTCCTGTCTTTTCCAGCTGAGGACAACGAAGCACTCTACGATATCTGCTTCCGCACGCTGCATCCTGGCTTTGACTTAGCAAGTTCCAGCGCTGTCCAAATGTTGTGAGTGCCTTATCGCCATCCTCATGCGGTCATCCGAAGATCTGGGTCATGTGCGCTCTGCGCCACTGACGAAAGGAAGCTGACGACGCCAACGTACGGCGACCTGAACCACTTGGTCTCTGCTGCTATGAGTGGCGTGACCTGCTGCCTGCGCTTCCCGGGACAGCTGCTCGGTTGCTGAACAATGCCTTTTCTCGGTGAATGATTGCGGGGTATGTGTCACCTCTGTCGCACTACTGCCGGAAATGAGGTTGAATTGTGATCTGCGTAAAATCGCAGTGAACTTGGTGCCTTTCCCGCGCGGCTTGGAGTGCAAATTTGACCTGGTATTGAAGGTTTGCCAAGATACGCTAAAATGGTCAGTTCCATTTGGTGAATGTAGTTCCTGTACCGCGAGTTCTCCACGAGACCAGGTTTGCATTTCTTCATGACGGGCTTTGCGCCGCTGACTTCCCGCGGGTCGCAGCAGTACCGGGCCCTGACCGTGCCGAGGTTCGGAAATTGGTAGGATTACAGTTTTCCTTTTGACGACATTTTCAGCAAGCGGCGACGGGACAGCCCAGGTGCCCGAATTGACCCAGCAGATGTTCGATGCCAAGAACATGCCTTCCGACAAGATGGCAGTTGTTTGTCGATTCAGTTTACCTGGTTCTATGGGACACCGCGGCAAGCCCACAAGCCCTGCGACCTTTAAGTCCTAGACACGAAGCGCCGCAGCACATCAATATTCATGAGAAGCTTCCCGAATCCGCCAAGCCCTCCAGGCACTGTAGTTAGCACCCCAAAAAAACAAGACGTTCTTCGAGGATGTGCGCTGCGGACCCTCGCCACGGCCGCTACCTCACGGCGGCAGCCCTCTTCCGCGGCCGCATGTCCACCAAGGAGGCGTGGGCACCTTGAAGGTAGATGGGTTTCGGTGGCTTAACATAAGTTTTGACGCATTTATATGGGGTGATATGGGTCTGTAGTGTAGGGCTGATGGGTCTGTAGTGTAGGGCTGATAGGGGTTTACAGGGTGTACAGAGTTTGCAGGGTTCAGCTGGCTTTGTTTTATAAAGTGTTTATAGGGGCGTAGGCTACGGTGTTTTTGCGGGGTGTGAGGTCCAGGGTTTGGACCCTGCAGGTGGATGAGCAGATGCTGAACGTCCAAAACAAGAACTCCTCTTACTTCGTGGCCGCCCGTTGCAAACCGACACACTTTTAACGCCTGAATTCCACTCACCAAGCACCGGCTCCCACTCTGTCGTCGATCGTCGGTGCCAAGGAATGGATCCCCAACAACATCAAGGCGTCCGTGTGTGATATCCCTCCGAAAGGACGCTCAGCAGCAAGTAGCAAGTGCGGGCTACTGTCAGGGGAGTGCAGCTCTGCACAGAGGGCCGACTTCCGAGAGGGTCCAGTTCCGGCAAGAATTGGGATTGCGGCTGGAACAAAGAGCCAGCTCAAGTGTCCTGTCCCCGGCATCTGCCGGAGCCTGCCACCAGCATTAAACTGTGTTCTGCTGGGTAAATGTGGCGTCTAAACCCTAAACCCTAAACCCTAAACCCTAAACCCTAAACCCCAAACCCTAAACCCTAAACCCTAAACCCTTGGTGATGATCGATCCCAGCTCCCCATCAGCTGGAGGTCTCAAGATGGCAGTCGCGTTTGCGGGAAACTCGACCGCCATCCAGGAGATGTTCAAGAGGCCCGTGTTCCGCCCGATGTGCTTGCCTCAACTGTTATGCGAGAGTACAGTGCTGACCGTGCTAAACGAGTCCTCTCGTCCGCCAGGGTGGCCGAGTACTTCACTGCCATGTTCCGCCGCAAAGCCTTCTTGCACTGGTACACCGGCGAAGGCTCGCTTGGAGAGCGCGTGGAGGGTGTGGGGATGCGAGGGGCACTGAGTAAATCCAGCCGCCTCCTGCGGAATGGGCAGGCATGGACGAGATGGAGTTCACCGAAGCGGAGTCGAACATGAACGACCTGGTCTCGGAGTACCAGCAGTACCAGGCGCGGCCATGTCCCGATGTACACCAGCCTGAGCCATAATTTTGCCTCATGCCCAGCTCCTCGCGAAACCCCATGCCGAGTCCCGATTTTGTTCATGTGCCTAAACCCCTGCAAGTTCAAACCCGAAACCTTAAGCCCTGCTTATAAGGGAGCAGGGACGGCTCACCAAAACGGGCTTAGTTACAAATCCCAGAAGCATGCCGGTTGTAGGATGCCTTTAAACTGTAAACAGCACCCGGAGACGCTAACTTTCAAGCCACCCCATTCTACGGTAATCCTCACGGGCCCCTTGTTGAGCCCTCGGCTGCAGAGGACGCCACTGCTGAGGAGGAAGGCGGGCGAGCATCCTGAAGCAGAGTGGGGCGGTTGCTTGTGTGTTGATGGTGCAATCCCCTGGGGTGAGAGGGGAGGAGGTTTGACAGGTGAGGCGTTTGGATTTAAAAATTATGTGATCGGTGGACATGCTGGCAGTTGACGGGGGGGTGCTTGTCTTGCAGGTGAGTTCGACGAGGAGGAGGGCGAGTACGATGGATAAGCGCGAAGTGCACTCTTCGCAGACCCATGCTCGTGACCGCAAACCTGTTCAGACCTGTGAAGACCTTGACTGCTCCCGCAAGCCACAAGAGGGCGCAGCCGGGGGAATTCATTTCCTTGCAAGCTTTCAAGAAAATCTTGAAGGCAGGTCGAGCATGAAGTCGTACCAACTTCCGCAGTTGGCAGGGTGAACAAAAGCATAGCATCGACTTGACCTGGGGCAGGGACGGCTTACGCACTTCAAGTGCCATGATATTGTTAGTAGTAAGCAACAATCATATGAATATATTCGTAGTAGGAGCGATAAAGCCGTAGAAATAGTAATCTAATGGTAGTAGTAAGTTACAAAAGGGTAATCGTCGTTCTTCAAGAGCCCCTTGGCGCACAAAGAGCAAGCAATTGCAGAAGCAAGGTAAAAGTAAGGCCTGACATGGTCGCTTCTCTAGTAACCTCTAGGTCCTTTCGGAGGTTTGTGTGCGGCATGTCGCTGTCACGTGTGCCTTCGGCTCAGAAGCGCCAATCTCCGTTAGTCGGTGAAGTACATTTTGTCTGCTATATCTACTATGGCAATCTTGCGGGTTCATGCTCTCGCTCTTCTTCTTCTCGGCAGTGTGCACCTTGCGTGCTCCCGTCGTCTGAGCTACTCCCTCGCTCAACCGGTGCCTGTGGACTTCAACTTCATGACGAAAGACAAGAACTACACCGGGCGCACGAAGTCGGCCTTTGGTGCCATGACGCAGTGGCTTTGGGCCGACCGGGCTGACGGCAACACCAAGGAAGAGATCGTGAGAGGGCACCGATGTCAAAAGCATGGGGGGGTCCGAGAGCACACATACTATGCCGCCAGCTTCTGCTACTGGATTCCAGAAATCTTTGACACCTGGACAAGGCCCTTGCAGCCCTTGCTGAACTGGCAAGGGGGGCAATACACTTCAGGATCACCCCTCATTGATGGCACCGAGATCGAGAAGGGCGGCCTTGAGGGCACGTGCGTCAAGGCATCCACGTGCCACAACAACGGACAAGAAGATGACGGGACCGTGACACGTGGCAAGTTCATGCTGGAGCACGTGACGTTGCCAGATGGCTGCCTTGGAGAGAAGGAGATCTTGCAGCAGTGCGCGGCAGGGTTGCAGGAGGCCAATGCTGATCTGAAGCAGAAGGTGGTGAGCTGCGCGTCCACCGAGGACAGGTACACAACAGCGGTGAAAGGCCTCAATGCATGTTTGACGATGTTGAAGGAATTGCCGGAGAAGATTGGGAGGAGCATTCCATGGCAAATCTCCGACACCCAAAGCTGGATCCGCAAAATGAAGTTTGAGGTGTCCAGTGCAAGAAGCAGGGTGACCTCTGTAGAGGGGGATGTGTACTACAAGTGTTCCGGATTCAGCACATTTGTGTCGCCGTTCTGCCCTGCCACCGATTCTTTCAACGACCCTCAGAAATACCGCGAATGCAAGCGCTGCCAAGGCGCGCACCGCTCAGTGAAGGCCGCCAAAGAGGCAGTTCGCCGTGCGCAAGGCGAGCAGAATCGAGCCGAGGCGGAGCTTCGAAGTCTTGAGTCCCAGCTGGCCCAGGCTTCCAAGGATCTCAAGACCTGCCAGGACAGAACCCCAAATCCTCAGCTTAAGAAGACGGCAAAGTACAACTACATGGGCGATAAATGCAAGTGTAAGGGCGACCACAATGGAAGTGCAAGGGTGTTAAGCTGCAACGGAAATCCTTGGAGTTTTGGTGCAGATGGGTGACAATGTGCGACTATATACAACTGGTTGTGAATACGCCCTGGGTTGCCTTTCAGGGGGCTGTAAGGATGTAGCACCGCACATGTGACAGCAGCTCCCAACTTTTTCGGGTTGAGGGTAAGCAAAATGACGACTACCCTTGCTTTCCATGAGGGGGTGTTTCAAGACTTTAAGAGTTGCAGGCTTTTGGCCGTTTAGGCTTTAGGCGCGCTGGTGATGTCCACTCTTCGTGGGATCTAACTTCGTCCCCTTCTAGTGCCTGGATGCGTAGAGAAGAGAGACATTACAACCAACATTGTCCACATTTGGTGCTAAGCTGTTGTCAACTATGAGAAACCCGTTTCGCATTGTAAACGTTTGCGCGGCCTGCGTCCCAAGGCCCAGAAAATTCCAAAAACTTTGCCCAAGCAAGTCAAAGGCCGAGTGGGTGTAAGGGGTTGTAGGCTGGGGTCCAGGAAGGGCGCCAGGAGGAGCGGTCTTTGTTCACGGCATCGGTTGCAGGGGGTCCCAGGGCAGGGGGGTGAGGGTGTGACGGAGACCAAATATTGGTTTGCTTGTTCCAAACGTCTTTCGGCCGGAGGCCGAGGCGAATTTTGCCTTCGGCTCGCGAGTAAGCTGCGGAAGCCCCAGCAGACGTTTCACGTGGGTGCCTTTATGGGGCCTCGTGAGGGTAAATTCCATGCGCCGAAGCCGTGTCATGGCCATGTACAGTAAAACCTCATGCACGGAAACTGCGGAAGTCTCGGTGGAAGGCTAGGTAGGCCCGGTCATCCAGTTAAAAACCATCTCCAGTTGTTTTATGGCCTGACACCCCCAACATCCCCCAACCCGAAGCCGAAACCTTTATCAAGCCTGCTCTGCCAGGACACGACTCCGTCCTTGACGGCAGCAAAAGAGGCCCTGGGCCGGGAGTGGCTACCACAAGCGGAGCAATGCCATGCAGCAAGGGAAAGTTACCGTGCAAAGGAGCAAAGCTTCATCCCAGAGTGCGCCCGAAGCAAGTACGAGGACTCCTGCGAGAAGCATTGCTTAGAGGCGCAGCACAAGGGCTGCGGGGTCGTTGAGGGGAACAAGTACGGAGCAGCCCATGTGCGCGGTGGTGTCACGGTCCCTTGCGCGCCACCGCAGCCTTCGTGGATCATGGGGCCTGCGGGGTATGCCGATCGAGAGTCCATGGAGTTGCAGTGTGCGAGGTTGTCCCAGGTCCAGCGCCCGCAGTTTGCCCAAACAGTCCTGAAGGCAGGTTGGCTCTGGATAAAAGGAAGGACCATTTCCAGCTGGGGCAAGCACTTCGCAGTTCTCGAGTCCTCGGACCCGGTCCGCTCGGCCGTGCTCCGCTTCTACTCCGAGGACCCCTCTGGCAACCAAAATGTCTCAGCTTCGGCGCCGGCCATCATCCTTTGGGATGCCAAGGGAGTGAAGATGAAAGACGCTGTGCACTATGGCTTCAAGACGGGTGAGGCGTGTTTTAAGCTTTATCACTTCTACACGGACTACCGGCTTTGTGTTCCAAGTGGAGGGGCAGATCCTCAGCATGAACGTGCTGAGTGGATGGAATTGTTCACCTCCAGCATGACCTTCTCGGACTATGAGTAATCTCATCGGTTCTGTAGT